AGGGAACTTTTAAGCTAGGGATCCCATACATAGGTGGTAGCTTAAGTGATGATGGTGAAATCGGGCATGAGTGAAGCTCGGTTGGGTAAGTACTTATTTATTATTAATCAATCAAGGACTGTTATAGGTAAAAAAAAGAATTATCAAACAAACAATCAAGAACTTTCAAATGGAGCCATAACAGTCATATATGAAGCAATTTCGAAGCACGATGCTAAAATATTTCTTTCCTCTCACTACCACTTAAAGAGACGTGCAATAAAAATCAATTACTTGTGAGGGACCTATAATTTGAGGCTACTTATTTAGAACTTCTCCGTCCATCTGTCTAAATGTTCGTATCGCGTGTGAAGTGAGCAACATGTGATTTTCGACAGAACGTTAATATTACATTAGTTAGTTTTATAACGTTACTTTTAAGTGTATCTAGTTGCGACGTAACATCAGATACTCTTTATTATCGTCCTCACTAATATTGATGGACGTGGGCTTGGTTTTGTTTACTTTAATTAATAAAACTGGTAGCTTCACTACATAGTATAAAACAAAGTCGCTTTCTCTGTCCCTATATCCCTATGTATGCTTAAATCTTTAAAACTACGCATCGGATTTTGATGCGGTTTTTTAAATAGATAGAATGATTCAAGAGGAAGGTTTTAGTATATAATTTGTTAAGTTTTTGTATACATTGGCTAAAATATAACGATATTTGTTGGAGGTGTCGGAAAAAATTAGACGTCTGGGAGCTTTCAACGCAAACGCTGTATCATTTCAAATAGAACATGTTACTCTGAGCTGCTAAACTATATCTCTTCAAAAAATTATGTTCGTCCGTTCCTCCGAAAAAGTAGAATAAACCATATAATTTTTCGAACTCTCTTTTGTAAAAAGAAAGTTCACGTTTCTTAAAAACTTCTAAATATTTTAATAATAATAGCCTTTTCTTGTTATTATAAAATTTTTAGTTAATAATGTAATGTAAGTTAGATAAAAGATTCAGATTATATTTATTCTGAAACTATTATCTTTACTAATATTATAAAGAGGTCAAGTTTGTGAGTTTGTGAGATTGTAGGGGGTAATCTCTTGATCTACTGAACCGATTTAGATGAAATTTGGTAAGAAGATAGTTTGAGACCATGGGAAGGACATAGGATACTTTTTATCTCGGAAATCATCCCTTAAGGGGTTGAAAATGGGGATGAAAGTTTATATTGAGTAGCGCTAGTTCAAAATATAATTTTAAAATAACCAATATTATTATTATTATTTGCCTTATAAAACAAAAGATAAATAATCTCAAAAAAAATAAAGGGTCAATCACTTTTTATGTATGGAGCGTACTAAAAATGATTTATTGCCAACTTTCAATGGGCGCAATATCTCAGGTATCGTTTCAATAGTTACAATCAAACTTCAAAGAAATTCGGAATATGCTTAAATTTAAAGCTTAGATTAGACATTGGCGAGGCAAATACCTACCTGGTTCTAAGAACGTCTGTAGGTCGAATGTTTAGTATAATTCTTAAAGCTCATAAAAAGCTAAAGGTCAGAACGACCCTATCATTACGTCAGATGCTGTTTGCTAAAAGATTTGTGTGAATTTAATTATTAATTTTACAACCAATCGATTTCTGTCGTGGTTTTTTGATGGGTTCTGACGGATCTGACGGATTTCTTTCATACGATGCAGTGGTAACTAGCTAGTCAGCTTCTTCTTAGATATCGTGGGTTCAATATCGTATATTGTATTATTTTATTTAGTAACATTTTCTTAGAGACAGGCGGAAAGACAAAAGGACGCGCTAGTCTTATACATACATACATATATATGAAGTCTTCTAATAAATGATGAATAGGAAGTTTTTCTTTGATATTTCCTTGTATATTCATTTCTGGTTTACCATTTAGTTACAGATCTTTTTATTACTTTTTTAAATAATATTCTACAATAAAAACAAGAAAGTAATTAAAACATCATTCAATGTTTTATTTGTTAGTGGAAACACTAAATATTATTGAAAATATAATACAGAGATTATATTTTATGTCAAAACTAACTGTACGACAAAACTAGAGCAACCAAAATGGTAAAAAATAATAATAGAAAGAATTTTATTTATTCATTTAAACACACAATTCACATCGTGCCTAGCCGTTTAACACAAAAAAGTTTAATTTTCACTCTTATCAAGTATCGAGATATTGGTAACAGCAACAATATGCTTTCTAAAAACCCGATTCTAGATACATAGTTGTTCGTGTAAGGCGGCGCCTACTTTGAAACATATTTCGTTATCAATAGTACCACCGATGTGCCGTTATCTAATTTCTGAACGAATAGACATCGGCCAGCCCGTGACCAATCGCCTTTGGAGATTGGTCTCCTAATTTTACCAGCGATCGATTAAACTTTTCCCTAAATAATACAACACGTACTTTATTGTATGGTAATTATTTTTTTTTGTGTGTTAGCACTACATAATTGCCTTTATACCCTAGAGCAATAGTATGTTCAAGTTGTGATAGACTGAAGCAAAATATAACACTATATATTAATTATAGATAGTTTATTTATTTTAATTTCTAAAGTAGGTATATGAATTAAGCTTTTTTATTTACATGCTAATTCTTCTTCATTCAGTCGAACTCATTCAAGAAGTATTTAATTCAAATTTAGCTTTTCATTTTCAAAAAAAAAGTTCTTACATGAACTGCCAAACTCCATAATTGGTTTTTGTTTAACAAGCTTTTATAAAATTTATACAAAAGTTTCGTACGTCCTGAACTAGTTGAACTATTTTTGTATTTAAACCCCATTTGCTGAAAGTTTTTCATTCACAATTATAAAAAAACTGCCTTAAAAGAGTAAGAGTGCTCGTCTGCTCCATGGACATATAAACAATACAAAACTCTTGAATAGTATACTGTTTTTAAGGGGTTAAAATAGAAAGTACCTAAATATAATCCTAATAATATTGCCTGCAACCAAGTGCGGCAGTTGCCATAACAACCACATCGTTGTTTTGCCAATTCTGTCTATTCATTCTACTTTTATTCTTTTTTCATGGAGCTAGTAGGCGTGTGCACTGCAGGCAGAAATACCTTTTATGGGCACCGAGTTAGCTCTACACGTTCGGCCAACGAGAGTCAAATGAACAAATTAAAAAACAACAAGTATCTACGAATATCTGATGTAAACGAAAAATGAAATAATAAATTGTTTTTCAATAATTGAAAAGGTTTTCAAAAAAAGATAAAATCTCCAAACTACTCATATAATTGAAAGTATAAAAGAGAATATTGGGTGAACCTATTGCTTCATATTAAAACAAAAACATTTTATTCAGACATGACATCAAGACATGATTATTTAAATTATAATTTAAAACTTAATAAATATTAGTAAGGCCATGTACATGTACCTAATATAATTAGCCAGTGCTTTATCGCATTGCATCGAAGTGTAGAGCTGGCCTTAGAAGCGAAAGCCAATAGCGTTTTATTAAGAGACGTTATGGTTCGATTTTTAAAAAGAAAGATTTTTATTGGTTTTGCTCGTGTGCCAGGTTTGCTAAAAACGTGGAACTTATTAGCTCCATAGAAATTCCCCATAGAAGATATGTTTGAGTTTAAAACTATTTGTTTATTCTATTTTAGAAAAGGATTTTTCATTTGCCGAATTGCCTTTACCCCCTTATCAAAAAGAACAGCTTAAAATCGTAGTCGTATAAATGGTTTATCATAAATCAAAAAATCATAAAAATAATGAGATCTTTAAATTTTAATATCAGTGTTAAATAAATAATACTAGCGACTTACCCTCGCTTCGCTCGGGTTCGTCCCTGACTTGCTTCCCAATACAAAAATTCATCCCCATTTTCACCTCCTTAAGGGACGATTTCCGGGATAAAAAGTAAAAAGTCTTAAACTATCTTCTTACCAAATGTCATCTAAATCGGCTTAGTAGATCCAGAGATTACCCCCTACAACGTCACATATCTACTTACAAACTCACAAATTCACAAACTCACAGACTTTACTCTTTATAATATTAGAACAGATTATTGATATACTCGTATAATTTCCAGAAATTATTTATACCTACTAGTGATAGCCTTGTGGTTAAAAGTTGACCATAATTCATTAATTATGAACGCTAATAATATTAAAGTTAGACAGGTAGCCTTCCTCAATATATAGAATATAAAATACCTACAGAATAATTTTTTAAATCGGATCCATAGATTCCAAAAATTTAATTTATTTTATTATATTATTTTTAACAAGCAAAAATTTCGGCTCTATATTAGTAGGTATAGAATTGATGGAGGTTTAACAAGTTTAACATCATGCGGCAGTTTTTAGAAGCGGTGTAACACATAAATAAACTACGTGAACGGAACCACAGGCAAAAGCAATCCAATAAATTATAGTTGCAGTTCTTCTCTATGTACCTAAACTTTAACTATGCTTATACTCCTCAGTTCGCGCTATATGCTCTTATGTACCTAAATATAAATTAATAAGGATTAAGTATAGATATCTCTTCACATATTAATATACAAATATTTTAAATAAATATATGTAGTAAAATGTTATTAAAAATATGTTGTGCATTTTTTTAAATTGTATTTAATATGAACTCCTACCAATTTTTTTCTTTTTGTATTATTGATACATTGCTTTTAAATTTGTCAAGGCAATATATAGCAAAACAAAATAAATAAGCTGATATTGCCGGACTGCGTTTAAATTATAATTTAATGAAATTATGTCTTTAAAAAATTTTATATTGGTTTTTTATACAACTTTTTTAAAAGGTAACTTCATTTTCGTTATCTGTGATAGCTTATCCCTTGTATAGTCTGACAATTGCGTTGAAACTTGCGTCGAATGTCATTGTCGAAGTCGATATTGAAATTGCACTAAAAAAAATAAAGCTGTTTGTTCGCGGACAGTGTTTCGCAATAAAAATTAATTAAAATAAAATAGTAGTCATGTTATCCAGCTTAAGGACTGGAGTTCAGGGTCTGGTAGGTGTGACTTCAACGTTGTAATTTAATAATTTAATATAAATAATCTAATTACATAATATCAATGTGACAGTTCGTAAATTTTAGTGTGAACATTTTGTGAAATTTTCAGTGGAGGGTTTCATCGAGAGCTCTACAGACTACTGCAAATTTACAACATGATAGTTTATTCGTACACCGAGACACTCCTGAAGACAATCCAAATATCCCGTTTGAATTCTCACCAGAAAATAAAAAGGTAAGGTAGTTTTGACATACACTTGTTTAGAACAAAGATTCAAATAATTAGGAAACTTGTGAATTAAAAACTTACGTTGAGTTATAAATATTTCAATTAAAAAGATATTAACTAATAAATAGAGAAACAATTTTTCCCTTTTTGACAACATGACAACAAATTTTGTACTCAATTGTTATTAGCGTGCTGAAGCCCTATTAGCTATATACCCTGAGGGGCACAAGAGAGGAGCCATGATTCCACTGCTAGACCTAGCACAGCGCCAAAATGGTGGTTGGTTACCAATCTCTGCAATGCATAAAGTTGCTGAACTATTAAATTTACCGCGCATGAGAGTATATGAAGTGGCCACTTTTTATACCATGTTTATAAGGTTAGTTTTTATAAGATATTTGTACTAAAAATTAAATAAAAATGTGTCTATTAAAGCTTTATTAAATGAAAAAAGGTAGCATATTTTTTTAGTCTAAAATTATATTTTTAACTGTAACTACTAATAATAATTGGTTTGATTTCCAGGAGGCCTATTGGCAAATACCATGTTCAAGTATGCACCACTACACCCTATTGGTTAAGAGGTTCTGATGCAGTATTGAAAGCTATTGTAGAAGCCACTGGTTGTGAAGTTGGTGGAAACAGTTCTTGCGGAAAGTTCTCAGTTTCTGAGGTAAAACTATACCTAAATATTATACAGACATTTGAATAAATATTACCTATACTAATATTAAAAAGAGGTAATATTTGTGAGATTGTGATGTTGTAGGCTGTAATCCTACCACCAGAGGGATCTACTTTGCCAATTTAGATTAAATTTGGTAAGAAGATAGTTTAAGACCCTGGGTAAGACATAATATGATACTTTTTATCCCGGAAATCATCCTTTAAAGGGGTGAAAATTGGGATGAAGGTTTGTATGGGGAACCAAGCTAGGGACAAACCCAAGCGAAGCAAGGGTGAGTCGCTAGTAGCTATTATTACAAGAAAGTGTTTTTTGTTGCTGCTATAGATCTATCACATACATATAATATCCCCACACATATGATTATTATGTTATTTATAATATAATTACAACTATTACAGGTAGAGTGCTTAGGAGCTTGTGTGAATGCACCCATGGTACAAGTTAATGATGATTACTATGTAAGTATGTTTTCACATAATTTTTTATATTTAGTATTTACTATGTACATATATGTAAAATAAAACAAAAATTATTATAATATATAGAAAAAATGGCTTAAATTTCCATTTAAGTAAGAGGGACCTTCTAAGTACTTCTGATTAAAACAAACATCTGTTTCCTTCATATAAGCATTTTTGCAAGAGAGACTTTGACACAGGCAGACATGCTAAATGATAATAATCAATAGTAACATATGAAGTGACAAGTAGATTTTTCACAGACTTACATATTATTGACATTTAATGTAAATTTTAAATATTTAAAAAGTAATGATTCAAAAGGGCTTGTAAAAGCCTATTTGAATAAAGTATATTTTGATTTCATTTGATTTTGTGAGGCTACCACTAAGCAGTATTATTTGACAAATATTTATTCTTTCTTTTTGCCAGACGTATATACTATACTAACATTGCCCGCGGCTCCGCTCGCGTTCATATGATCAAAAACCAAATTCTTACTTTTACGTACATTGTAGTTTTTGTACTTTTTCTCGGAAATGAGACATTTTCCCGCGGCAAAAAGTATCCTATATGTCGACCCGGATAACCAGCTATCTCCATACCAAATTTCATCAAAATCCCTCCAGTGGTTTTTCTGTAATGTGGTAACAGACAGACAGACAAAAATTCTAAAAACTATAGAATCGGCCTCTGTATTGATAATAATGTATGTATAGGTAATAATATATTATAATAAATAAAGAGTAAATAACTAGACAGACCTATTGTTATTTACGATCTAAAAGCTGTTGTTTTCATTCATATCTTTTTTACTTCATAAAATTATTAAATATAAATTAATAATTTTCAGGAAGACCTGACTGTTGAAGATACTAAAGAGATTATTGAAAAGCTCAAAAGGGACGAAAAACCCAAACCTGGACCAAGGTATATACTATTAAGTAAAATTTACAAAGTTTAATTGAATGCGGAATAGATTGAAAAATATCCCTTCTGTGGTATACAGTATGTAGTTGGAGACATACATATTTTATACTAGCTGCGAGTCTTGCTATATGGGTATGTCTGCATCTGTATAGTACTATGTTCCTTTGTCAACTTGTTCTCGTCTTTTTAGTTGGCTTGCTTCCATACTTACATACATACCTACAGGTTAAATACAATCCTGTACTGTTACCGCCAGGTAATAAAAGAATAATATTGCTATAATAGAATAAAATCTCCTAGATTTCATACTTATTTGTTCCCGTTGAGACCAATGATAGTAAGGCTTAATAGACTAATATAATTTTATAAAATATTTCGAATGTTTAAAACTAATTCAATGAACAAACAATATTCTGGATTCTGGCTCAGTATATTAATCAATCATTATATTTTAGAAACTGGCAAAGAGTAAATTATATATAAGGTTTGCTGAGAAACATTTTTTTAAACTTTATTTTTTATACTATCAACTTCTACCTCTACCTCTCTGAATTTTAAAAAAACAATCAATTTATGTCTTTGATTCTGCTATCTATGTATATAAATAAAAATGAATGTTTGTATATTTGTCGAATATGCGTTTCTAAACCATTGATCCGATTGTGATAACACTAGATGGTTATTCTGTATATGCCTGCAATGGTTCCTGACGTAAATTAAAGAAATTTTGTTTGGACGTTTATCTTTTGTGCGTTCCTATTCAAACTTAGGAGACGTAAGTCACTTTTAATAGTAATTCAAGTACAATAGTTCCATACAATTCATAGTAACAACTTGAAGTTTTATAAATGAAGTTTTATTTTCGAACTGTAACTTAGCCTTTGCAATGGCAAAAGAAAAACTTAACAGAAAGTTAGTTTTTAGAGTTTTAATTGAATAAGTTATACAGCGATACTCGATAGATCTTAGATCTGTTTTAGTGTTACTTTAGGAATTGAATATAAAATAAAACTTTGCTCCAAATATAACTATGTATACTCAAATGCATAGGTGAGATTTGAAGGGAGGTGTACATTTAGTCTATTAGTATTAAATCCATTGCGTAAAAAGCGAACTGAAAAGATAGTAATAATATTTAATTTTCCTGCAACCAACATGCTTACCAAAAGGGTAAATCCACAGAATCTGCCTTAGTAGCTCTGGTCGACAAGGCAGAAAGGTCCCTAGAGGATAAGCAGACAGCTCTATGTGCATTTTTGGACATTGAGGGGGCTTTTGATAACACACCTACGGCAACCATCCTGAAAGGATTAAATGCAAAAGGTGTTGATATCACAACCACCAGATGGGTGGAATATATGCTCTCCAACCGGTGTGCGAAAGTTACGTTAAACGAACACTCGCACAACTTCCACACTACAAGAGGCTGTCCGCAAGGAGGAGTGCTTTCACCCCTATTATGGACACTAGCTGTAGACCTACTACTTGTAATCATGGCAGATCTCGACTACGATACACAGGGCTATGCAGATGACCTTGTTGTAGTAGTAAGAGGTCCCTGCCTGAACACAATCTCCACCAGGTTACAAGGAGCTCTCAATACCATCACAAGATGGTGCAGAGAAAATGAATTATCAATAAACGCTGATAAAACAGTTATTGTACCATTTACCAGGAAAAGGAAGCTTGAAAGGCTGACTGAACTCAGACTCAATGGCAAAACCCTTAACCTATCAAATGAGGTAAAGTACCTTGGAGTCACTATTGATCAAAAGTTGACCTGGAACTCTCACCTCAACAACATTATACAAAAAGCCAAAATGGCCCTCTGGATATGTTGTCGAATGGCTGGAGCCAAGTGGGGCCTCAAACCCAAAATGGCTCTCTGGTTGTACACCGCCGTGGTAAGGCCGATCATAACATATGCCTCAGTCGTATGGTGTAAACCAAACAAAAGACAACTATGAGTAAACTAGACAGCATACAACGGATGGCATGTCTAATCATCACGGGAGCCTTCCATTCGGCACCAGGCGACGCTCTAAATGCTTTGTTGGACATAGCTCCGCTATATCTCCACGTGCAAAAAGAAGCTAAATCTTGCCTCTACAGGCTCTGTACACAATCGAATGTAAAGTTGCAATCGCAATATATGAATAAACTCAAAGACATTCGAACACAAAACTCTGAAAATGCCAGTCGATGGTATGAGTACAGAGTTTAACTTCGCAAAACAGTACCAAATAGATCTTCCCAACCGGGACATGTGGCTAAAAAACCAAGAGTCTCACAAAAAGGGCAGTCATGTTTGGTTCACAGATGGATCCAAGAAAGGATCTGATGTAGGGTGCGGTATCTATGGCCTTAAGCCTAGATTTGACATGAGTGTCAATCTGGGCAAGGAGGCCACCATCTTCCAAGCCGAGGTCTTCGCCATCAACAAATGTGCTGAAGTCATCCTGGAGAGGAAGCTTAGAAACCAAAATATCTACATCAACTCAGATAGCCAAGCAGCACTTCTGGCTATAGATTCTCTTGAGACCAACTCTAAGTTGGTCAAAGACTGTATGGAAAATCTGAATGTCCTGGGCACATCCAACAGAGTTACCCTCAGATGGGTCCCGGGTCACTCAGGCATAGATGGGAATGAAAAGGCTGATGCACTGGCAAGAAGGGGTGCTGAAACCCCAGTATGTGGCCCAGAACCATTTTGTGGTATTGCAAAACAACATGCCTATTCAATTCTCAAAATTCACTGCAATCGCCAAGCACTTCAAGAGTGGCAATCCACTTCTGGACAAAAACACTCTAAAGCGCTAATTAAGGGATATCGCAGAAAGTTTACAAAAGAGTTGCTTCAACTCAACAAGTATAAAACCAGTGCAGTAACCAGAATACTTACTGGTCACTGCAAACTTAATAAACACATGTTTACCCTCGGCCTCAGTCAGACCGCAATGTGCAGACTATGCCATGAGACAGAGGAAACTGCTATGCACATCCTCTGCTCGTGCGGTCCACTCATGCACCGCAGAAGTATCTACCTAGGGCAGCATATTATGCAACCGGAAGAGATACAGATGCTCCCCGCTCAGAAAATCTGGAAGTTCCTGGAGTCAACAGGACTAAGCGGAGAACTTTGAACTCACTATAAAGGGAGCTACAATGGACCAAAACTGGTCGACGTAGCTAGGGCCGACCTCGGCACCACACCCAACACAATAATAATAATAAAATAATAATAGTAATAATAAGACAACAATAATATATACTGATATTATAAAGAGCCAATGTTTGTTGTTTGTTTGTTTGAACGCGCTAATCTCAGGAACCTCCCAATCTGATTAAAAAAAATCTTTTTGCATTAGAGCCCGTATATTGAGGAAGGCTATATACAAATATATATAATACTTATTATTTAAATATAGACAGACTCGCAGCAAGTAGGTATAATAAAGGAGCAAGTTATAGGTTCGGTCAGTAAATGTTTTACTCGATATATTTGTAGTATGTCACTCTTTAGTAAAAAGACAATGGTAGTCCAGCTCTCGCTAATAAACGTGCTCGCTTAGGAAACCAATTGGAGTGGGTTTAAACCCGGTTTTCGCACCTCTAACATTTTTATATGAAAATCATTTTCAATGTGACTACGTCTTACGGTGAAAACATTGTGAGGAAACTTACATATCTGAGAGAACCTAGCAAGTTTTTGAAAGACATGCTCAGTCTGAATGCACTTGGCCAACGTGGTGGACTATGACCTGATCCTCCTCGTACTGAAGGGAGGCCCGTGCTCAGCAATAAGACCTTAAAAAGGCTGAATACTGTTTACTTGTGTATATTATTAATTATTTATTTATTGCATCTTTTTTATATCTTCAGGAGTGGTAGATACGCAGCAGAGCCTCTTGGTGGGTTGACATCTCTGACCGAAGAGCCGACCGGCCCCGGCTTCGGACTACAAGACGCTTTGAAGGCGTAGAATTGTTTGTAAAGAATTATTGTAATAGGAATATTTAAATAAATCATGTTAGTAAATGTTTTGTTTTTTTTATTATTATTATTTCTTTGTGTCTTTTTGTATTATATGTTTTGTTTTATTTTTTATTCTAAATGAAATTAGAATTTAATTATATTATTTTGTTCTATAATTGCATAATCTCCCATATAAGTAATAAATAATAGCACATCATACTATAACTATACATAGTATAAGTATCTGAGTACAATCTGTGCATAAAATATTTTTTGGAAAATCTTATTGCAATAGATAGTCATTATTACTGATGCAGATGACGAATCTATAGTTTTTAGATTTTTGTCTATCTGTCTGTCTGTCTGGGAACGCATCACGGGAAAACCACTCGACAGACTGATGAAATTTGGTATGATAACTGGTTTGGTATTCAGGTCAATATATAGGACTCTGTTTAAAGTGAAAAAATATCTCTGAGAAATCTATACTAACCGTTAAAACGTTATAGTTATAATTTAGAGACGAAAGTTCGTAAGTTTGTTATATATACGTTCCGAAACAGCTACTCGTATGATTTCAGAAAATATTTAAAAAATATTTAGAGTGAACGTACATGATTGGAGCCAACGAAAAGAGGTAAATTAAATTGCGACTTGCCGCAAGTATAAGCTAGTTAAAATATTTAAAAAAGCATCAACATGATTGACGTTTTTTTTCCAAGCGTGTTATTTTTTAGGTGATAGCTATCTACTTTGACCTTTCAACTAGTTGTAGAAATTATTTCACTAATAAAAGGCATTATTCCGAGTAACAAGGCATAAAAACAAAAATAAGAAAATAATTAATGACAAATACAATATAACTTATAGTATGTAACTAAATAAATATATAACTAATTATATTTTTATGTAGGTATTATAAATCTTTTCAATCAGAGACCAAACTCATATAACAAAAAAATAATTTACGAACTATCTTTTTATTAATCCGCTTGCGTAATAATACGTGGTTTAGATAAGCGTATAGTCAGCATTGTCTTGATAACGTACACGTTTCAGTCATGATTTATACGACGAGGTAAATAGTGTTTTATCCATTTATGTTAGCTTAGTTTTTTTTAAATATAATATTTCGTGATTATAAAAATCGTGAGCTCGGAACGAGGTGATAATGTGTAATTGGAATAAATAAAATACCAGTGGTTTATAATTTTTGTGTACACAGATGTTCCGTCGGAGTAAGAACGATGGAGCTAATAATTATATTAAAGTGCAGTTATGGGATACGGGTACGGAGATTTCCCAAAATGTAAGTTTCAGCTTCCCGTCTCATATGTAATAATAAAATATGTTATATATGCTAAAAAATTATGATAAATATTAATTAATTAGTAATTACAAGGAAAATAGTTTTTATTGCAATACCCATATCAAAAAGTGCAAAGAAATAATAGAATTAATTGATATACTACCGATTAACATTATTAGTGTATTCGAATATATATCTTTATACACTATTAGGTATACTTTTCTGCTCAAATAGCTTTTTACCCATTGAAATTTTATAATTTAAAAAAGAGTAAATATTTTCATTGTACATTTATCCGAATAATATGACGTTTTGAGCTGTAAATGAAACTGTCATGTATACGTCACTTTACGTCGCTTGTCAGTGTGTCATTGTTTAATTGTTAGTGTTTCGCGATCGTTCGGGCTTTGTGTTGTCTTCTCGGTAAAAATAAAATGTCTTTCGAGGCTTAAAGCTCTAAGGCATTTTGTGAAAGATGAAAAGCAGTCCGACGCGTAAATATGAAAATTTCTCCGACCACCAAGCTAAAGAGACTGACAAGTATTCCCTAGACAGCCAAGACACCGCCAGTCTGGTTAGTGAATTTAGTTGTTCAAGTTATTGATTTTGTTTGTGTACCATCCAGATGTTATTGATTCATTAACTTTCAGTGCTAGTCAGAGCTAGTAAATTCTATAGAGACCGATGGTAATGATATATTAGTTTATAATACTCTAAATTCACCGGGCGTATTCATCCCTTGATTGTTCAACCAAAAGCCGCATAAACTGCAAGCTGTTAGAACGACCTAGATTTTTATATCTAATTTAGTGCATATTCTTTTTAGGTACACTGTCTTGTCGCATGCACCTAAACCTAGTTAACGTCCGATGCAATTTTTTTCGATACACGCGTACACGTATTTCGCATCGTTATTCTAACTTTCACTACACGTGAGTTGCTTTAACGTGGAAAGCAATGAATAATACGATATTTTAAGGAAATCAGGTTCAATAACTAAATATATATCAATGTTTAATTTTATTAAAAGTAATATGAAGGTAGAAATTGAAGAATATATTTTTAATTGTTTAAAAGCTCAGACAGGGTATTATTTATTTATTAAAAACATTACTGAGCATTTCTAAAAACGAATATAAGTATGTATATTGTTTTATATTTTATCCATATTATAATTGTCTCCATAAGATGGGAATATTATATTAATAAAAAATAATACTTCAAAAAATACTTTTTCAAATTTTGCTACACATTATTATTCAGTTAGGTATTTGCAGAATTTTATTAGTAAACTTGACAAATTAGTCTTTCACTGGGCAATAAAAAAACAAGTTTTATTGGTTTTGTGGAAATGATTAATTTCTTTATTTTTTACTATTTCTTTATTTTAAAGCCAATTTCAATATTTATACCTAGATATAGTTTAAATGTAAACTATTTGAATTCTTTATTTAGCCCACTGCACAGGTGAAAATGGAACAGATAATCTTAGATCATTTGCTAATTAGCACATTCTAGACTATATTCATAGATAGTGTTATAGTGTTATGCTATAAAATCTAATTAGTCAGCATAAGATGGGGAATGTTTAAATTAATTTTTTTAACATTTAAAACTATAAATTATTTGAATTTTTATTTAAATAAATTTTGAGAGAGAGCTTTTCTTTTAAGAAACTTTAACTGTAAACTTTATTTATTTGTTTTTTAATTACAAAATAACAGTTTACTCAGTAGTATTATAAGTGCTGTTTGTATAATAAAATTTGGGTTTCCTTATTAAAATATACTTATAATTAAACAAATACTAGATAAGATAAAAATAACAGAAGTAAGATACTCAAACAATATCTATTCTATTTAGCAAAATATGTTAATGACATGTCAATGTTGTAAAAATGTTAATTTATTTTATGAATATTTTGTTAAATACTTAAATTGATTTATATACTGTTAAATAGTAGTATTGTATGCTTAACAAAATATTGGCACAACGGTTTATTGCCTATTTTAATAGAAAAAAAAAAAAGATTAGTCTGCAATATCCAGGCACTATGGAGTAGCCAGACTACAACATGACTAACAATACAACTAGAAAAACTAAGTGGGTACCTATTCATTTTGTAAACTTACATGTTAATTTTTATTTGAAATATTTATCTAGAAATGTCATTAGTATATAGAATAACTGTCATGTATTTTTGTCATCTAAATGGACCCGCGCGGGGGTATTACGTTAAATTTTAAGAAACATTTACTTAAAATTACGATTCACGGTTGACAATACGATTACACATTTTCAAGAAAAGCATTTTCGTTTCGTTTAAAGTTATTGATTATTTAATTAACAATTACACGAATACTAGATACATTTATTTTAATATTGCGCAAAAGGCAGTGGGCCAGTGCAGTAATTTCCAATAGACCCAGTTCGCAGACGTTTGGATGGCACAAGTATTATATATAAAGATAGATCGTAAATTGATATCCTACAGAGAACTAGGAGAAAATTAAGTCTCTAATGAGTCATGAGTAACTATTGGTAACGTCATTTACCACACTCACTGTTAACAATTACCTTTTAAGACTTTGATAATTTGTAACACGAAAGCGATAAGAATGGTGAATCGAATTGCTTTTATTTGACTTTGAATGACAAGTACCTACAACTATTTTATTATTAACTAGCAAACTGTTCTTTTTACATAAATACACGCATACAAACATATAAAGTTATTAGGTACTGGCTGAATCTGTTGTATTTGGAATAATATATCAAAAATTTCCCGATCCAATTTTCCGCGAATGATATTACGTATTTTGGTGTTAGCAAAAAGGCCTTTATTTACGAATTTAGAAACGTTAACTTTATGACGTATAAAATATTAATATGTAGTGCGAAAATGCTAATATAACCTCGAGTTGAGAACTCGTTTTTTTTTCAATTTAACAAAGGTTTTCGCTTCACAATTGACTTAATAATGAAGAACCCTTATTTCAATATTTTAGATTTTATACCATTTGAATTTTAGACATAAAATAAATGCAATGCGCACTATTGACGTAAACAACTTAAGAAGCGCTCTTATGGCCGATTTCACCAACATCACCTAAATTTAAGGGATCCCCTAAGCATGGTTAGGGGGCTGTTAGGGGACAGTTTCTGTTTCACCGACAGTTAGGGGTCACCCAAAATATTAAAAGGCCCCCTAAATTTAGATGCTCGAAATATAGGCTTAAAGACGATCGTAAAACGAAATTTAATTTAGGGGCTAGTTTAGGGGACTTTTAAGCTAGGGATCCCATACGTAGGTGGTAGCTTATGGGTTGTTGGTGAAATCGGGCATTAGAGGTTTTAAAATATCGAATCGTCGATCTGCAGTATATACAGGATGGAACAAACGGATGAGACATGGAAGAAAAGTAGCTATAGGCTTAAATATTAAAGATATCAAGTTTCACTATAAGTAAATTATAATTATTATATAGAGCCACTTTATCTTATAGGGATACTATACGCATTAAGCATTTAATTTTTTTGTACCTATAGTATATATGCCATTTTACCGGACCTGAGATATAGCTGAAAAGACCCGCATTCCACTCTAGGTTTTTATTGTTTGGTACCGGTTCTATTTTCCAAATGTAATTTTTGTTGCTAATATTTTATTTTAAGTACAATAATTTACACACGTAATAAAGTGGTAAGGGCTTCAAAGTTGTACCTACATATTATTACATCTAGTTTTTATCCGTCTCTTAAATCGTGCAATATCCGTAAAAACCTGCAATTCACGAGTTGTTGTAATTTCAATGATTTTATTTTTATCTTTATACGCTACATATGACAATTTTAATTTTTGGTAGGTATAGGAATATGTGTTGATTTGTTTTCTTCTAAGATCTGAGGGTCATCTATATTGGTTGTGTTCCGGGTAAAGTAGATAGATAGTAGGTTATTTTTGTATTGATTCTCATTACATATTATAAATTAAAGACCCTGATTAAAGTGCGCTAATTGTGTTTGTTTGGATCAATCATACAAACTACTGTAGGGATTTTCATGCGGTTTTCACCGATAGAAAGAAGGACTATCCAGGAAAGTTATAGGTTAAAGTTTATGAGCATAATAGCGATTCACCGTAGCTTCGCTCGGGTTCGTCCGTTGGTACGTTTTAACGGTTAATATGAAATAGAAATATTTGAATTTCTCGCCTATTCTGTACTATAATATGTATGTATTATACATATAAACCTTCCTCTTGAATCACTATCTATTGCTGAAAACTGCATTAAAATCTGTTAATTAGTTTAAAAGATCTAAGCGAACAGACAGCGGAAGCGACTTCATTTTATACTATGTAGGTAATGATTACGAAAATAAGCTACCATTATGATCATATTTGTCTATGACTAGTTCTATATAATTGTTTTGTTCCAGCATTCGAATACGGAGGAAGGTCGCCGCGGCGGGGAGGTGAGCGCGGGCGCCGGCGACATGTGGATCAGCGCGGTTGAGAGTTCCATCCTAAGTTGGGAGGCGGTAAGGACTTCAATAAATACATAATATACATTTTACATGCTAGGTTTCTACCCACAGCATGCACAAATATTATTTCCTTCTTTTCATATGGAAAATGTCCTAAGAAAAACTAGCAAATATTAATTGTTAATTATTATATACAGTAGTACAGTAAGCTTTGATAAGTTTGAAATATAGAGAGTGCAAAAGCTTGTAAAAGGGGTAAGAATTCTTTACGCTGTAGCGACTCAAGGATATGAGTGAAAAATATTATGGTGGATGGAACATATAAACACCGAATTCTTCGACCACTTAATACACAAATGGAACTGTAGAAAGACTACTTAGCACCTCCAGGTAAATTTCGAAGAAAGTAATTAAAAGTCTAAGAAATCTATTGTTAACTGACACGCCGGCGTGCCCGCGGTCGTGGAGGGATTAGGATTAGAATAAAATTTTACCTGTGATTTATGGGATATAACACAAATGGAAACATTCGAATTTTTTTTAGATTTTAATAGGATTCTTTATAGGTGTTACTAGTAGTACCCACGACTTCACCAGTGTTTACCACGTGAACCGTACATATTTCCGGGATAAAAAGTAACATATGTGCTATGCCAGACCATAATCTATCTCTGTGCCAAATTTTATCCAGATCCGTTCAGCCGTTCTGGCGTGATTAAGTAACAAACATCATGCACACAACACCTCAACACATTTATTTAGATTGTTTGATAAATATGATAATAATAATGAATAATTATTCTATAACCCCCTCACTTCGTGTATTAAGTAAATTTCATTAGGTTTAAAATTATTTTTATAATAGGATAATTAATGATTTGTGACTACGCAAATCCAAAAAAAATAATATTTTCACTTTCGAAGTATTTTTTTCTATAAAAAAAAGTAAACACGAAACAAAACGTAACGCAAAATAATTAATTGATGGCGTTAGTAGAAAATAAATTTAAACTCAAATATCTCATTTAGCATTCAGCAAAAGAAAACATCTTATTGATTATATTTAAACAAGGGAGCGACTCAAAGAGCCTTTGACAATCTCTATTATTACACGTTTGTATATAATACATAATATATAACCGTTTTCCATTATGTACGAGTATATTATGGTTTTCACAATAGCGTTTGGCGAAAACTATCGTGCCTTTGTATCCTAACATTTCGTGTTACAGAAAATGCGACAATACGTTGGGCAATCAAGATATTTGAGTAGGTAGCTTTTGTTCACGAAAATTTTGCCTTTCGACTAAGCTTAGCGACTGGTGTTTAACTGGCTACACACACACACACAGACGAAAATACTATCAGTTCAGTTTGATGACTGGTATATATGTATATATATACTAGCGACTCACCCTCGCTCCGCTCGGGTTCGTCCCTAGTTACGTTTTAAGGTTTAGTATAGATTTCTCAGAGTGAGAGGTTTTCACGCAGTAAATAGTATCCTACATGTTGACCGGAACAACCAGCCATTATCATACCAAACATCAAAATCTGTCCAGTGGTTTTATCGTGATGCGTTACCAGATAGACAGACAGACAGATAGACATATAAAAGTTCTAAAAAATATAGATTCGGCCTCTGTATCGATAATAATGACTATTTCAATAAGATTCCCCAAAAAATATTTAATGTACAGATTCGACTCAGTTAGAACTTTATTATATGTATAGATTTGAACTAAAAGCATGCCTTATTTTGTGAAATGAAAAAGAATTAATAAATACCCGCATTAGAAGAGTTCTTTAAGATACCAGAGTTTCGAAAGAGGTGGTTAACCTGTACTTATATCTTCATATGTTTAATGATTATAACTTTTTTTAAAATTAAATGTTAGGTATATATTCGTACATAAATATTTATTTACTTCACACGTGCATTATTGATGGAATCGGCGACCTCAGTAATTGCCAATCGACCTTTCAACCACAGAGTTATTGCGGCTCACTAGCCGCGACCATACGTAATAGGTATGGTGATAATGAAAAAACAAAAGCAATGAATATTGTAATGAATTACACGCATCAGGTGTTTCTTCAATAGCTATGGAGCAAATAATGTTTGATTGCACACGCCATGTGACTTAATTTGAATAATAATCTTGTGAAATGTCCGTTTACTCCTTGAGTTCTTGTATTTATAAAGTTTTAAACATGAGTTTTTGAAAGAAATAATTAATGAAAATATCAGAGTTAAGTCTGCAGATTTTGGATTTATAGGAATACTAGCAGAATCCGCGGCTTTGCTCGCGCTTAAACTACAAAAAATATCTATAAGGGTAGTTTCATACAAACTTTTACTTACTGTTTTACTCCCTTATAGGATGAATTTCGAAAAATGCTAAAACATGTATTTATTTAATTTTATTGAAGAGCATTAATACCAAGTTTCAAGTAATTTTGATCATAGATATTTTTTTGGATTGTATTATTACGTGTTTTCCCGCGGGAATTAGATAATCTCCCGCGGTAAAAAGTAGCCTATGTCACTCTCCAGCCTCTCCAACTATCTCCACACAAAAATCACGCGAATCGGTCACTCCGTTTTGACGTAAAAGAAGGACAAACAAACACACACTTTCACATTTATAATATTGGTATGGATAGTTAACGTTGTGCACACATTTTTTGTATTCTACTGTTAAGATTTCGTTTGTAATTCACGTATATTGTTCTGGATAAGCATGTAGAAAATTATTAGTGCTTTTCAAAGTGTTAATGTACTTTAATTATTTTGAAAAGTAGAAATTACCAGTTAACATTTTTACAATTAATTAATTTAAACTAGTTTTCGTTCTGCGGCTTTCCTTGTGAGATATACCACTAAAAAGCAGCATGTCTATCTAAGATATAAGTTATCGCAATATCAAAATCTCGCATCCACTGAGCTGTTATAACGTGAAGAAGTAACAAATGCACACATTCACTTATTTTCATATTTAGAATATTATTGCCCGATTTCACCAACAACCCATAAGCTACCACCTATGTATGGGATCCCTAGCTTAAAAGTCCCCTAAACTACCCCCTAAATTAAATTTCGTTTCACGATCGTCTTTAAGCCCATATTTCGAGCACCTAAGGGGGTCTTTTAATATTTAGGTGACCCCTAACTGTCGTTGAAACAAAAACTGTCCCCTAACAGCCCCCTAACCATGCTTAGGGGATCCCTTAAACTTAGGTGACGTTGGTGAAATCGGGCACATGTGATCTCAACATAAAAAAGGGAAAAAGAAAATTAAAACTGCAAGGAATATTTTTATATAAGAAACGTGTTTTAAAGAATCTTGTGGTCTTTGACCTTGTAAAAACAGCGACCTCTTAACAGGTAGTGTTGAAAGTATTAGGTAGTGTTGAGGTTAATGATGTAAAATGCGGACGATGTCGCGAAAAGTAGGCTAGCTAACAAGTGATTCTTTGTCGTAAAATTTTATAAATTCAATTCTAATATATATTCAGTTATTTTTAAAGTCCCACTGCTGGGCAAGGGATCAGACCGTAGTCCATCGCGCTGGGCAAGAATGGGTTGTCAGACTTCCCATGTTCGAAAACTTGCTAGGTTCTCACAGACATGCAGGTTTTTTCACGATGTTTTCCTTCACCATAAGACAAGTGGTAATCATGTTGGAAATGATTTGCACATGAAAATATCGCAAGCGCGGGATCAGGAATTTGAACCCGCTTCACTCGGTCTTACTAGCGAGCGCGCTACCACTGGGTTACCATCTTAATATGATATGAAAATAAGTTGGATTTATTTAGATGGTAAACTTTAAAAGCGTTTCTGAATTTACATATAAGCGTAAAATGCTAAATGCGATTATTTACCGCGCTCTTGTCCCCGACCTTCGGTGTTGCAACCTTTTTAAGTTGATATCTAATTTTAAGTTGTTGTTATACATACTTCAAGATGCTTAATGCTTCAATCCATAAAGTTTCAAGTTTTACGAGCGATCTTTAATTGACTCTTCGTAATTTTGTCCAATAATATACTAAATGCACTTTGGTTTTCAGATAATTTAGAACTCGCTCAATAAATCCATACTAATATTATAAATGTGAAAGTGTGCTTGTTTGTTTGTTTATCCTTCTTTCACGTTCAAACAGAGTGACGGATTGGCGTGATATTTTGTATTGAGATAGTTAGAGGGCTGGAGAGTGACATAGGCTACTGTTTATCGCGGTAGATTATTATTTAATTCCCACGGAAAAACACGTTATAATACAATCCTAAAAAATATTTATGATCAAAATTACTTGAAACTTGGTATCAATGATCTTCAATACAATTACAAAATACGTGTTTTAGTATTTTTCGAAATTCATCCCATAAGGGGGTAAAATAGGGGATGAAAGTTCGTAAGGAACTTATTTTTTTAGAGATTTCTTTGTAATTTTAGCGCGAGCGAAGCCGAGGGTTCTGGTAGTAAGTTATAAAATACAATTACCTATAATAATTATTCAAATCAGGCCAGTGGTTTCTGAGATTAGAGCGTAAGTACAAACAAACATAAATAACTCTTTACCTATCATATACCATAGACGGAGTATAACACAATTACTTTATTTGTAACTAGCATTGCCTGCGGCTCCGCCCGCGTTCAAATGACCATAAACCAAATTGTTAGGTTTTACATATTACGAGTAGTATACTCTTACATTGCAGTTTTTGTATTTTTCTCTTAAATGAGATATTTTCCCGCGGTAAAAATTATCCTATATGTTGACCCGAATAACAAGCAACCATCATACCAAATTTCATCAAAATCTCTCCAGTGGTTTTTCCGTGATGAGGTAACAGACAGACAGACAGGCTGACAAAAATTCTAAAAACTATAGTTTCAGCCTCTATCGAAAATAATGTCTATTTCAATAAGATTTTCCAAAAAATATTTAATGTACAGATTCGGCTTAGTTACAATTTTCTTATATGTATAGAAGACGATGTGCAAATGTATTGGCAAGTTAGATACATGGTGGTACGATATTAAATC